TCCTTCAGATTACATTGTAAAAAATGCAACTGGCTCCACCACTCATCAAAAAACCAGAATACACTGTAAAATTTGAGTATTTCTCAGCAGGAAATTGGAATTAAATATTGTTTAGAACAAGATCAAAGTGATCCTGATAACTCTTGTTCATAACTTTCTGAAATTGTGAAGACAAGAAGACGTTAACCTATGATTTTATCTTTTTCTTCATTTTTGAAAATTCTCAAATTTCAGGCGAAAACCTATCAAAATGTGCTGATTTTATTGGCCAGCAAATTCCGTGATTTGAAATACAGCAATTTCGTATTGTGGGTCATGTTTTTCCCCTACAAATTGCTGGCATCCGGATCTTCCGTTTTTCGGCGGTTTCGTTATGCGGAGACTCGCTGTAGAGCTGAACCCATACAGTAGGGAATAAATTATTACGGTATCAAGTGGTAAACAAATGAATGAATACTGACCAGGAATATTTTTAAAATGAAAGGCAGAGTCATTGCTGAATGGTTCTCAAGGAACGGCATTCTCATCCCTCATGATACGCCCATTATTATTCAGATTTCGTCTCCTTCCGAGCACGAATAAATGAATGAATACACCGCCAAATTATTTCTCTAATTCAATTCACGAAATAAGCAGGGGCCTCCTTGCAGATGATCCCGTTATTCCTCGCGACGCTCGGCTGAACGGAAAAGAAGCGTCTTCGCCACGCTCTCAACCAGCTCCTCTCCCAAGGGGACCAAGGAACCCATTTTCACGCCTTCTTGTGGGGAGGGAACCCGCCCTAATGACCCCTTCCGGCCCCTCGCAAGGTGAACACCACGACGATACGCAATTGTTCCCAACTAATTCCCCCGCGACAAGAAACACCTCAACTCCACCCAACTGATTTCACGGGTTTGCGTGGCACGGGGCCATCAAAATCACGTGAGAGTAATAGCGCAGAACCCCCGTATAATTTATTTTTTTTTCAGCACTGGCGGCTTGCAGAAAGCGAGCATACGCACCATTTGACAGATAAAACACCCCAAACTGTGCATCACTGGTTTGCAACCCATGGTCCACGAACCAGTGCCAATCGGCAGAAGTTTTTTGCCGGGCTGTGGGGAAATTTTTTTCAGCGTAATAAATGTATCAAAGGTAGAAATGGAGTCGGTTATCTTCATCTGAAATTTCGGGAAGACTATGGCAGTTTAAATTATCCGAGGAAAAATGAAAGTTGGCTTTTCTCCCATAAACAGTTAGGACAAATTTTTACCTGATGAAATGCATTATTTCTCGTAATCTTCCAGAGAAATATTTCTTGAAGCCCAGCTTTCTGATTTTTTTCAATATCATTCCACGATACCTGCTGCATTTGTTCCCAACTTGAAATTTGCGATAAAAGTTTTGGTTAGTGGACTTTCATGGCAGGCATTGAAAAAAATTTGTGAAGGCCTAAAACAATGTAATGGAACTTTTCTAGTCCACAAAATTATGGAAATTTGCCGGTTCGTAAATACAGTAATTTTATGAAAATGTCCCGGTCTGCGGGCCCCAAAACGTTGGGAAACAATATTGTACAATACTGTACAGTACTACAATATGCACATTATTTTGGGGAACAATGCTGTATAGCAGTGTTTCACAACCTTTTTGGGCCTGCGGACCAGCGAATTTCCATTACAAAAACTTTGCGGACCCACAAGTTCCAAAAAAATTTCTGCGGACCAGTAAAGTTTCATAAAATGTTTGCAGATCAAGAGATTTTTGCTTGGATATTATAGCAGGGATTTAAAAGTAATTTTTTTAATGAATTTGAGCACCAATGAAGCACCTGTAGCTGAAAGAATGATGGGCTTGAAGAAGGGTTTCTCAGAATGAAAAATTAAGATAATTTATTTCAGCAGGTGAAAATTTGTTCGAAGCGTTATTAGGAGAAAAGCTCGCTTTCATTTTTCATGAAATAATTTCAACTGCCACCGTTTTCTCAAAATTGTAGATAAAGATAACGAAGAATTCCTATTTCTGATGTATCTATCATGCTGAAAATTTCCTGCGGACCAGCAAAAAAACTGTTGCGGACCGGCGCCGGTCCGCGGACCACGGGTTCGGGAACACTGCTGTTCAGTACATTATTCCCGGAGAAGAGCGTGTCTTGTGCAGAGGTTCGAAGCGGTCATTACCGACACTTGGCGAAGGGACTCGTTCAAATGTTTCAATCTCGACATTCCTAACGTTGACACGGAATGTCAAACATGTTGACAGTACATGTTATCACGTGTTACCGACTAGTAGGACTTATTCAACATTCTGTTTCCGCGGCGAACGCATAGCAATGCAAACCAGCTCTGCACTTTTTGCAGGAACAGAATGATGCGACCGAACGAAAGGACAGTTACAGAGTGAAAATTCGAAAAAAAATAATATTGTAATAAAACAAATTTCGTTATAATGATTTTGAGCGGGCCGATCAGTTTCTCGTTAGGAGCAATTTCACATTCTCATTTTAAACGAACTCATTTTATGCTGTAATCTCAGTACTGTTCAGTACTGTGCAGTGAAACGATTTTTTTGCCGTGATTTTGTGCATAGGCCGAAGGATTATTTGATCAATGGCAAAAAAAAAATTGAACTGGTGCAGCATTTCAACTTCATTGAAGAAGCAAAAATGTCTTTCAAAAAAATCTAGCGTTAAAAAAAATACCCAACTTGTTGTCCTACTCCTTACTAGGGCTGTGAGTCGAGAAATAAAGGAAACTTGTCCTTATTTCTGGAATACTGTATATATATATTATCAACAACACTCTCATCCAATTGTTCAACATACAACAAATTTAATTCAATACAAGTTACAAATACACAAATCCAGCTTTTACTTTAACTTCTTAAAAGTTGAGCTTTGTAGTCCATAGACTTTACTGTTCAAAGCCTGGATGAGATCTGAGTGATCTCCATCCCAGGCTGAGGTATTTTAGCTTGGCCATGGAAAGAAACACACAGAGGAACAATTACTGCCCCCCAGAGGTGTGAAAGCCTCAGCCTGTGATAAGCAAATGGGAGCAATTTGGTAAATTGCTCTTTCGGGAAAAAACACAATTTGACACAGGATCATATCTGTGAAAGTGACGTATTCATGACATGGCCTGCTGAATTAAAATACAAAGCAATTTCTTCTAATTGTCTCACTTGAGCCTACCAGGACACCAAAATGAAAATAAGCTGTGGGAGGGAAAAGTAAGCTGATATCTGGATGAAAGCTTAAATGACTTCTCATATAGGATAATTGCAGAGACTTTCTAACTCTGACAATTTCCTTGTCCTTGAAAACGGGTTTCTACAAAGCATGAAAAAGGGCTTTCAGGAAGTGTTGTAATTTTAGGATAACAAACTTTACATATTTCTCAGATTTTCTTAGGAGAAGATGGAGAGCACAAAATACAGTATACACAACATGGCATTTTTCTTGGAAATTCTTTAGCTCCATTTCAGAATGAAATGGAGTTCTCATGTTCTTTCAAATGAAAAATATGCTAGAAACCATTCTCCCTTGGATATCTCCAGAATTGGTATTTCTACCCATTTCCCAAAAATTCCAGTCTGAAATCTGCCCAAAACCACAAATCTTGATACAAAATGCTTTTCAACAAATTTTTAATTTGGTCCCTGGAAGTTCATCATAACGAGATTTTCCTGTAACATCGAAAACTCCCTAGAGAACTTCCGTCTCATCCACTTGCCACGTAAGATTCTCGCGTAATTACAGCAATTCCGAGATGCAAGTCTCGAAGAGCAATGCATTTTCCAGATGCTTTCAAATTGACAAAAGACAGGAACAGAAATGAAGATAACCATGTCAAGCCCTGGCTATTTCTCTTCAGTAACCCATGCTTCGCAAGGTTTGCCTTTCTGAGCCAAAATTTGCGGCGAGATTACGGACAAGACTAATTTCATTGATATAAAATGATCTCCTGTGCCAAAACTTGATTTCATCCCATGCTTCTTTTTGGCACCAGAAGACAGGCAAAAGAAACTGCGAACTTTACCTTATTGAAGATAGAGAGATAAATAAACAGTACTGAACAATATTTACTCAAGTGCCCTCATGTAAGACACGCACCAGTACCTTAATTTTACATGCAAAAATTTTGAAAAAAAAATTAATCCTCGCACTAGACGCAAGACCCGGTTTCATGCGACATAAAAGCCAATTTACTAAAAAAATAATTGCTAAAATTTGATCATTGTCTACAAAGTTTGAAATACTGTATATGCAAACATTTTGTAGCGCTTTTGCATCTGCCAGCTGAATGTGAGTACTGTATACAGTAAATATATGTTTTACTCATTCTAGTGTCTTGAATAATATTTTCGCAGACAAAGTTGAATGAATGAAATATTCGCGCATCAAAAACTAACCAAAACGTGCAGTAAAAATGTTGACAGCGAGTCCCCGAACAACGAAAGATGCAAATAACTAAATTTTTGGGCGGTAAAACATGACTCAAATTGCTAAATTATTCCATATAAAGAATTTTCAACACATCACGGAATTATTTCACGGAGCGAAATTTTTTGGCCCAAAAATGCGCAAATTTAAACAATTTTTGAACTGAAACTCGAGAATTTTTCCAAATTTTTCAAGAAAGGTAAAATATTAAGAGTTTTACATTTTCTTTCTTTACAGTGTGAAAAATTCAACATGTTACGAGCAAGAGTTGCCATGATTTCATGCAAGACAAAATTAAATCTAAAATTGTGTGTTGAGAAATGCGCTGATGGGTTGACTAAACTCTTTTTGTGAGGGGCTGGAAACCATTTGAATCATAATGTAATCTTGAGGGAAAACGAGTCTTCAGAGAAATCAAAAAAAAAATCGGCTTCATCAAACTCATCCAAGAATGGATTAGTTTCGTTATGCGGCGACCCATTGTCCACGGGTATGATGCGCAACCCCCTTCTTGACCTTGATTACTTCCGGAAAAAAGGTACGGGTGGTACTTGAGCCAATACGGTACTATAAATCAAAAGCAAATCGAGAGCAAACTTCCCGTCACGTGCAGAAATTCCCCACTTTCGACTGGTTTCGAACCCAACAGCGGAAACTGCCTGGAAACGAGATCACGGTACTCACGAGTTTTGAAAGTTTTCTCCAGATGAACAGCGTCCAGAATGTGATGGAAGTCGAAAACGGATTTGCCGATGAGGTCGTCCTTCGAATAGCCCAAAATCGTCGATACCCTGCGCGATCGATACGCAGTGGAGGAGAAAAAAAACAAATCGGAGAAACTTAGCTCGAGACCAGTTCATCGAAACGAGAGAAGTGAGAACTTACGATTCGCAAACGTCCGTGAATTTCATATTCAAAGAGTGCCTGGAGTGGAATGATCCTTTCTGGTACAAGAAATCCGAGGCGCCGGACTTCTCGAGAGGCTCGGCGATGAAGACGAGATGCGGTTTCATGAACTTGCGAGACTTGCTGCTCGTACTGGACATTCCAGACGACGAGGGGTGTCTAGACTTTTCGTCGTCACCAGACCCATCGCTGTCATCGTCGAACAAGTCGTCCATGTCCGACAGCTCTTCCGTCGTATCCGGTGTCGCTCTTTCCCGGAAGGGATTCACTATCAGCCGTCCCGTGCAGTGCAAGACCTATGAAGTCAAAAAGTCATTTCTTAAATGCTCAATAGCAGCAAGAAAAAAAATACCGCATTTAATCAAGTTCTGAAATTTTAAAGGATCAAGATAAACTGTTGGCTTTATATGACTTCTCATCAAAGATTCTCGGTAACTAAACCTCATACAGAAACAAGCTGAAGACCTTGTGCTTTAAATTAATTTTTACAGATATTTTGTTACCAATGTCAGGGAATGAATGAGTGTATGCATACATGCCAGATGTCCAGTTGTATTTCATGCTATATTGTATTTTCTTTTATTTCTGTTATCAATTTGTGCTTTCCTGCTATGAATTGATTAAAATGTCATTGAGTGGATTTGGGTTGGGTGGGAAGGGGGTTTGGTTCTGGAAATCTTGATTGAACCTATTGAACGCTGAAAAGTGGCAAATAAAGTGTTGTGTTCATTCATTCATAATCAAGTTCCAGGCGCCCTTGATTAAGATGGGCACCTGGTTTTCTGGTCATAGAATTTGGATAAAATCTTATCCCCAAGTATGACGCGCATCCCGTCTTTCGTGATTAAATATGGCGGAAATTATCGGAGCGATTTTCAGAAAGCAAATTTTATCAAGCAGACAATCGGGTGGTTTTACCAGTGGGCTGATCCAGTTTATTCCAGACGCAGAAAACTACACCTGGAAGACCAAAAAGGGCTAGAAGATTCTCCCTTGGTCTAGAGCTTTCAAACCTGGGTTTGCTGCGGGTTTTCCTTTTATTTTTAGACAGGAAAGGACAGGAAAAACTATTTTAGCGTATGGTTTGCTCACCCCTGGATGCCAACCTCCAGATAGCAGGGACCTAGTTTTGTGACTGGTTTTTTTTTAATGATTGCCAGGTTTTATTTTCTGGATGATTTTCAGTTTCTGAGTATAAAAAGAGTGAGTTTTGTGTGGAAAGCATCAGACCATTTTAAGCTGTGAAATCTCTCCCAAAGTTCTCTCCCATCTTGGGTATTTTTGTGAAATAAACTGATGTTGGCAGAGAACTTGCCTACAATGGAACTTCTATCCTTCAACTTATCCTTATTTCAAAAACATGACATTGAACAAATAACTTCCTTACAAGATATAATGCAAGATATCATCCAAATTCAAACTGACAAATTAGTACAAAATTGGACAACAATGCGCCCAGATAAAATAAAAATTATCACAGTCCAAATACCAGAAATCAATCCAGTTATACTACAAAATCAAAAGGAAAAAGTCAATACAAAGAATAAAATAAAGAAGACACAAATAGAAAATTATCCAGAAAAATATGAAACTCAAAAGCAAAACAAAAAAATCAAAATACAGAAAAAAAATATTTTAAAACAAATATAACAGAGTCTGAAAAATCCAAATACAAGGATTACATACAAAAATCGCAACCACAACAAATAGTGGAAACTGAACTTCTTCAAATGTTGGCTTCATTTAAAGTACAGAGTCAACTTTCTGTCTAAATAGGCGCAGCGTGAAAAACTGAACTACGATTAAAGAATTGCAAAGTTTCGAAAATAACACACACTAAAATCAAAACTTTGACTTCATTGAACCTAAAATTTCCATTGTTCCCATTTCAAAATAATTCTTCTCCATAAGTTTTCCATGAAGACCAAGTACTGTATATGAGCACCAAAACTTTTTTAAATGTTTAAACCACTTACGACACGCACCATCTTTTTTCCCCCACTTTATTTGAAAAAAAAGCGCGAGTATTAATTTCGTAAATATGGCATCAAAGCCACTGATGAATCTCGGGAAAACTGGGGGGAAATCTCTGGTCAAGCTCTGAACCTGCCGAACCACTCAAATGCACCAGCGGCTCCAATAGACTACGCAATCAATAATTCTACCTGGAACCCATTATTTGATTGGAAATCCCCGGAAGGCAATCTTCCAATTCAGTTCTGGTCCACCGGTTCGCCTGATCAATCGGCCTCAATTAACACAGGCAGTCCCAGCATAACGTAAGACCCGCACAACGTAAATGTTTCGCTGAACGGATTTTTCAATTTCTTCAACAAGTTATTATTTAAACAGGTAGTTCGCTAAAATTTCGGAATTTACAAAAAAAAAATAAATTGAGGAAAAATAGGAACGAAGGGCACACTTGGGCCTCTTATCCACGATATCTATAAAAATTCGACAATTCAAAGCAAAAACTTGCCACGATTACTGGAATTTAATACTAGTGCATCCATTTCATAGTTCACAATTTTATGCGGAAAACTAAAAATAGTTAACATTTTGAAGCTTCATTGCGGTCTTTCGGCGAGTCCCTGGAACGAATTAAATCGCGTCTACAGTTGAACCTTGGTAACTGGAACCTCCCTGAGTCGAATACTTTAATTCTTAGGGTGGAATATTTTTTCAAATCCGTGTATTAAAAACGTTCCTGTATTAGAAACGTTCGTGTGAGGCTTTACCTCACAAACCTCCATGAAGTCGAATTTTTTGGACGCCTTTTGGCTATTCTTTTACTGATACAGGAAAAAGAAAAATAATAAACGTGCAACTTGATGCGCTTCAAAAGGAAGACAAATTACTGATTGGGCAAATGCATCCTTTTCATTTAAGGAACAATTCAAGGCCCAGAATATCACCATTAAAATTTCCTGCAATTCTTTTTTCTTCTCCCAACAAAAATTCTTGTTTCCCTGACTCGAAACCTCCGCAACCACCGATTTTTTTTCTGGTCCCTTGAAATTCGACTTGAAGAGGTTTGACTCTAATGTAGCACCCCGTTTCGAAATATAAAAAATTCTGCATGGCAAAACGCACCCAGGAACGGATTACAATGAGACCACCACATGCTCCTCAACCTGCGGACAATTTGACATAGGGACACTTATTTTCCCAGAAAAAAAATCAATAAATAAGGCCCAACATAAGGACACTGACTCAACATAGGGACATTTTGTGATAAAATTGCAAATACATTTTAGGCCAATTAAATCAAATTCAAGTGGCAAAAAATTTTTTTCAGGGAATTCTGAAGAATATTTCTTCCAGAAAACACCAATTAAAAATTATATAATGTAATTCTATGTGAAAACAAGACTCGACTTAGGGACATTTTTACTTGGGGACACTCTTGATGCTCCAATTACGTCCGCATCTCGGGGTCTCACTGTAGTTTTGTTATGCGGGGATAAAACGTACTGTACCAAGTTCCAATGAATCTTCCCGCCTTTCATTCACAACCCCAGTCTCGACTAGATGATTGACGAAAAGAGGAAATTCTTACGACAGCTGCTCCGCGGTTGACACGGTACGGGATACTGTACTCGATTCATTTTCTTTCCCCGCTGATGAAGAAATTAAATCCCCGGGATTTCTCTTTCTGCCCGTGACGTTGAGAGACAGCGAGGCGCGTCTCTGCCATTCGTTCGCGTGACAAATGAACTCTGCACGGCTATTTTTCTTCCGCCGTCAAATATATTCGAGTACAGTACATCGCAAAAAAAAAACGTGACCGGACAGCAGTGCGTGTTCAAAAAAAAAAACTAGAACCGTCATCAGTACACAGCAGTGCTCGAGCAAAAACATTTTTCTCGGCACCAGCCAAACATCAATTTTAATACACTTCTCATCGTCACCTCGGACGCGCTTCTGGCCAAGCTATCATCAATGCCAAAATTTATGAGAAAAGGAATTTTAAAAATGCCGTTTTGTTCCAGTGTTTGGACACGTGCTGTTTCAGAATGGGCCGCTTCAGGAAATTCTCAAGTAAAGAAAAGGTAGCCTCAAGGCAGCAAAACAAATCTTTTCGCATATTACAGGTCGACTCGCTGTAGAAAGTTTAAAAAAATAGTTTTACATAGAAAATCATTCTAGAGTGAGTCTACCAGTAATAAGTTTAAGCGACGGTACATATTTTCGGATTTCCAGGCATATCGGGGTCGACTTTACATAGATGCTTCAAAAAACCATACCGTATTTATCCTCGTCCTGGCTGCAATTTTCAGACGGACCATTATTTGTTTGCCAACTGAAGTTCGAAAGAAATGAAAAAGAATTGGCATTTTGATTCTCCAATGATTATTTGACAATAGAAACACAGAACTCGACAGGGAGAACTTATCAGGAAAAAAGAAAAATTCAAATTCACAACTGACATTCGATGAGTTGATGTAAAAGACAGTCGTCTCGGCAATCTGGAGACACGAATTGTTAAAAAAAAACATTACATCATCGAAAGGAACCACGCTGAAGAAACCCCAACCAAATGGTTCTAAAACGATGTTGAGTTCGGGAAATAAAGACAAGATTATCGAGTATTTTCAGTCTGTTAAAAATTTAAAAATGCAAGTTTCACGTGACCACGTGTTTTTCCTCTGGTCACGAGACACTCGTGGAATTTACTGTCAATTTTATGATAATCATTCTCAAGACGCTCCTTCTTCCACGTGCCGAACATAACAGCATTTTGAAAAACGAGCGAAAATGCATACTTTGCAGAACTTGAAAAATAGTGCTGGACTTTTCCAAAAGTGTTCACTTGGATACTTTTTGTGGTCGGAGTAATGAGGGAACCCGATGACGCTTCCAGGTCTTCCTGTCCGCCTCCGCTTACCGACAAGGCGAATTTCGGAGGAAAACTCAAATCTTTGTTTTTCGCGACGAAGAAAATACTAAAGTCGTTGAGAAGTCCCAACAGGCACTTAAGTATTTACTGGGCAACTAAAAAAGCTGAACCGTGCGGTGAAAAATAAAAGGCAAAAACGAGAAATCATGGAGCATCAATAAACAGTCAAGATGTTGTACTCGACATTATACCTAAAATTAGAACAATTTCGGAGCTGATTGCATTTAAATTGTTTCACTCATCGGTACACTTCTCCCACATCCACACATGAGCTCTGCATTTTCAAAAAAGGCCTCTGTGGCGCTTTTCCTACGAATTCGGCTTTCGGAAGGATCACATGAAAATTTGAGCCTTTGCAATTGAATATCTTAGGTTCAAGAAATACTGTACTGTACAGTACTTCGCACTGAAAAGAGGACAGGACATACAAACACAAAAAAAGAAAATACAATGGGGCCTCGACCAATGAACCTACTGTATCTGTTTCAGTGTTTGGTTTGTTGCTCGAGGGGTTCTTCACGTAATCCAAAATTCAAAATGTATGCTGAAAATCAAGAGAAAAATTAAGGTACCGTATTTCACGTTTATTTTGATCTTCAGCAAGCGTCTGGAAAGAATAATTCGCTTATATTCTAACTTCAAAGGAAATCGCGAGTGAAATATATCATCAAGTAAAAATAAAGAAAACGAGCACGAAAAATTCAAAAACGATCAAGAAAACAAAGACAATATTTGTTACTAATGAGTTTCAATTGAAAGTTATCAAAAGCATGCAAAATCAGAAGCACAAAGGAAATTCAAATCCCGTAATGCTTTGAATTTTCTTTCGAATTATATTTTTTACACCGATTTTTGCCTCCCATTCGAGAATATAATTTCTTCGGAAACGTAAAGTTGTCTTCATATTTCCAAATTTAAAATAAAATGTTTCGGATTTTTTTTTGTTTATCTTTTTCTCTTGAGGTTGATTCCCAAAATCAAGTTCGTTGCCTAAGGCAAAACCCGCGTTTTTTTTCGGTAAGATGTTCTTTCCTCGAGGACCCATTTTACTGTACTTTACCCCACAAAGTGAACATTTGACACCGAAAAAACCCCCCATTTCGGAAAATGCCAGCGTACAGATGGACTCTCTCATTTTCCACGCCAGCGAAAACCCGGTTCGAAGCAGGAAACGCTGCAGAGCCGAACGAGACGAATGCCGACGAGAATATCGAGCGATAGAATTCACATTTTTTGGCGGCTTTCCCATTCCACACGAGCAATCTCCGCTGACCATCGCAATAAGGCAACCCGCATCGAAGGCGAACTGGGCAAGAGTTCAACATTTCAGCCCGCAACCCGGCTCCGCATCGCCCGGCTCTCAGTGGACAAATCAGACGGGACATCCGAGTCAATTTACAACCCCAGAACCTGTCAAGTCACGGCGATGCTGTCGACTTCGTTACCCACTCCAACAAGCCTTCCGCGATATTCCAGCAACAAAAGAAAAGAATATTCAAAATTTTTAAACTTAGAAAAAAAAGGAGTACGGTCGAGCGTTCCACCACATTTTTCAAACCCTGATGTTGGCATGACGCGTCGCTGCCATCATCGCCGAAAAGAGCTGGAACAACGCGACAAACAGTGCCAAAAGTCCTCGACGGCGACAAGACACTTCATGCACGCCAAATTGTTTGCCAGCCGGTTATCCGCGAATTTACGTACATCACTCGACCACCGCGGGGTCACGCGTCGCGCAACACCCCGGGTTCCGGGGATCGGATTCCCATCAGTTCGTTCGTTCTTCATTCCGACTTTCGGACGGGAGCATTCCGAGGCGAACCATTATCCCGCCGATAAATGAAAATAAACCGAACCCTGTCACAACCGGCAAGAACGAAACAGTTGAACCCCCCGGAACACGGAGAACAACGGAATTATTATTCTCAAATCCGAAGACATCCCATCTATCTTGATCTCAATGCGTCATACTCAAGCCTCTCAACGTTCGTCTCAAGAGATAAAACGAACTTGTCAGTCATTTTCTCGTCGCGAAAGAGAAATGATCAAACCGAAAAGTACTGTACAGTCAGACCCCCACATGCGGACGCCTCGACCTACTGAACATTCAACATGGGGACACTTATTTTCCCAGAAAAAATCAATAAATAAGGCCCAACATGAGGACACTGACTCAACATAGGGACATTTTGTGATAAAATTGCAAATACATTTTGGGTCTCACTGTACAGTACTTTTCGGTTTGATCATTTCTCTTTCGCGACGAGAAAATGACTGACAAGTTCGTTTTATCTCTTGAGACGAACGTTGAGAGGCTTGAGTATGACGCATTGAGATCAAGAATATGCGACGCCATTATAAATTTTAGAAAATGTGCCTTTCTTGTACAGCGATATCTCCCGAATAATAAGTCCCATGCATCTTTCAGGATGATAAAATAAATGCGAATTTTCAGAGGAAACGAGGTTTCGCTTGTTGAAGGTTAGTCAAGGGTTGAGCGAAACATGTATTTCTGGAATGCAGTACAGTATCCAAAAAAATAATAGAATAAAATGTTCGAGGTGTTTCGTACACAGTACTGGCAAGTGTTTTTCGTGGACAGGTCTCAGATAATGAATTATGGTTGTACTCATGAATACAGTACCAAGCGCCATAAACTGGGTACTGAATTTGCCGATCTGATATAAGACAATTTTTCCGGTACTTTAGTCTCAAAATTTCGTTACATGGTAGCAAATTCATTCGGTAAAACAAACTTCTTCGAAGTCCCGAAAAGTTAGTTGCAACGAGATTTTACTGCATTTTATTGAAAATAAAATTGCATGAACTTTAATCTTATTATTTTGAATATGGCAGTCCCAACTTTTCGGGATTGAACCATGTGCAGTAGGGTACAGTCGAATTTTTTTTCCTGATCCATCATGCACCAGAACGAAAAATCAGAAAACATTTTTCGGTAATTGTTTTCCTGTGACCAGGGTAACATCTGAGCTGACGGTTTGAAGTACGTTCTTCGTTCGTTGCCAAGAGTGTACTGAGAAACGTTGAAATTCAAGGTTTAGTTACCTTAGTCACAGTGACAAAACCTCGTCGACTAAAGCGAATGCATTTTCCGCCATAAGATTCAATTTTTACAACAACAAAAAATGTGCAGGACAAGAAATGACGGAGCGAAAGCCTACTTGAGTCCGATCCCTCCGTTTGATAACATAATCCATGCCATTAAATTTGTTGTACTGTACATTCTTGAACATTTAAAAAACATGGCTTCGACGACAGTCAACAAGATAATAGAGATGAACTAAATTCGTGGACGTCGCATTAAAAAAAGTAATATCCAGAGAGCTCAAATTTCCCAAGCAATAGGTGCCTCATCTGTTGACACAAGTCTCATGTGGGCTTGGGTTCCCTACTTGAACTGCGAAACACGAAATGGTGCAAGGTCAACGGAAACGGACTTTCATTTCCGATTAGACCATTTCCAACTTCCCGTTTTCATTCAAACCAACTCCCCACCGATCCCGTCCTTGAATATCTCTAAAATCTATGCTTACTAGGGTCGTCCCAGTTGAACGCGACCTCTGTTATTTGTGAAGTAGGTGCGATAGCAAGAAATAATAATAATATCACTACATAGCCCATGACATTCCAAGCTTCTGGGATTTTTTTTTTATTGTTGCAATTTTCTTCAATTTCCAGCATGTTGAGTGAAAACTTTCCAGTTACAGCTGTAGTTCTCCACTCATGTCACAGGGTGTTGAAATTCATCAGGCCAAGTAAAATATTGAGATTTACTGTTGTGTTACCCATTATCTTTTCTAAATTTCAGATAATGGTTGCAACAAGTCCAACAACAAAATTTTTTTTTTTGCCTGACACAGTTTTAGCACCCTGCGACACGGGCGAAGAACTCTGGCTGTAACTGGGAATTTTTCACTCATCAGACAGTAAATTGAAGAAAAAATTAAAAATTTGAAAAAAAACCAGAGCCTTCAAACATTAAGGGTTAGGTCTTCTTTGTTCTACCATCACAACTACTGTACTCACACACAACTATTCTCCAGCATTTAATACTGATAGAAACAAGCTCAAGAAAGATTTACAAGTATTAGGATTCAATGAAGGGACCCTTTCTGAAATCTTAAAAGGATCAAGATAAACTGTTGGCCTTATATGATTTCTCATCAAAAATTCTCTCTAATAACTAAACCTCATACAAAAACAAGCAGAAGACCTTGTGCTTTAAATTTATTTTTACATATATTTTGTTTCCAATGTCAGGGAACGGATGAGTGTATGCATACATGTCAGTTGTCCCCTTGTATTTCATGTTGTATTGTATCTTATTTTATTTTTGTTATCAATTTGTGCTTTCCTGCTATGAAGTGATTAAAATGTCATTGAGTGGATTTGGGTTGGGTGGGAAGGGGGTTTGGTTGGGGAAATCTTGATTGAACCTTGTAAACTCTGAAAAGCAGCAAATGAAGTGTTCTGTTCATTCATTCTTTAGGGAATGGTTTCCTACCAGCTTATCTGATTGTGTGATGGATTTCTGCTCTTATCCACAAAGCCGTCAAGGGATATTTCGAACTTTCATCATTTGTTTTTTGGGGACATCCAAAATTAATTCCTGCATTCTTTGTTGAACAAAAGTTCATGCGATGAAAATGTTTACAAAAAGAAGGAACTTATCAAACTTTAACTATCCTAAATTCACCTGACCTAACCTAACCTAATAGCCTAACCTAACTAGCCTAACCTAACTAGCCTAACCTAACCTAATTAAACTAACCTAACTAACCTAACATAACCAAAGTCAACCAACTTTGAACAATTTTATCATTATATAAACTATTATACTTCCCATTTTAAGACGTTTGAACTAAACAGGGATGTCCTCTAAAAGCCAAGAATGAAAGGTCGCAGGGAGCGCAGAGATCGGTAGGAATAGAGCCGGTTTTTGGTGGGGGTAGAACCGAAACTCCAAGATCTCTGGTAGGAAACCATCTTGCTCACCATTCATTCATACTGCACTCTAAGCCTCGAGCACGGCTCGGGGAAATTCGAGAACAAGGAAAGCCGGAATAGTAGGGATAAATTCGCGATTTAAAAAAAAAAAATTATAAAAACAGGGGATAGCTCCTGGGAGTGGGCGTTACCATGAGCGCAGGAAAAATTAAATCGAGTCGTTGTTTCCGGACATCGCCGAGCCCCGGGTCCTCTCCCCAAGTTCCCCTTCCCATAGATGCGATGAAGGTACGAGCTAGGATCAACCAACCTTGTGATTGGAAGGCCTCGAGGTCCCCGTTCGGTTCTTGTTGCTGGCAGTATTGCACTTGACTCGGACAGAGAAGATCTTCTGCTCGTCCCGGAGTCCCTCGTCTTCCAGCGACTGCTCGAGGACGTCCGGCGTCTTTGCATTTCCGACACCTGTCCCGGGGGTTCGCTCGGTACAGAAACTAAGGTTCGCCCGGAATTCGTCATGATCACACGGGTGTACGTAGTCGAACACGGACCCGCCCAGTAGATCCACCTGCGAAGCGAGTAAAAATAGACAAAACATCACACCCGGGGTATTTTTCCTCCCGACACGAAGCCACGAGGGGTGAAATTAGGTACTGGATCAATACCCCGCCCGGAATCTCCGCACGACAAAGGCAGCTCATTGGAAATCAATACGGACCTCCCCAGACACATTAATAAAGAGAAATGTCACCCCGAAATTTACGTCAGAATTCTCGGTGGAAGATGGTTAGGGTATAAGGTCCGTCCCGGGAAAAATTCGACGAGTTCGGAACTGAAAGGAAAACGAAATTTCTTCGCTATCCGAGAAAAGAAAATATTGACTGCTCAATCATGTGGTGCTATACACCGATTCTTTTTTTTACAAAATTCACGAAGAATCAAAGAGCACTTCACGCGCCAAAAGTTTCTGTCTTGCTTCGTGACGAGTCTACACCTCCCAGAGAGAAAACAAAATTCGCATATTTCGATAATTTTCTATGTTTTTAGAGGAAATTTTGCAGTCAATTCCTGCACGCTTTCTCAATTAAATTTTAATATCAATTTGCAATAGTCAAAATTCGACTGGAAGGTTTTGACTTGGGGGAGGTTTTGAATTTCATAGGTTAGAACTGCAATACAAAACCCTGTTTTCTGGGAAACTTAGAAAAAAGGTAAATGGGGATATTCAGGGGCTTAAATGGCTGCTTAAATGAGTTGCTGAACTTGGAGGCAGGGGTTCATTTGCCCAAGTACGTCTTTCACTTCCTTTAAAACAAATAAATTTCTGTTTTTATGGCTTTTTCTTTCTTTTTTCAAGAAAATAATGGTCAACAGGCCACAGAAAATTCGACTCATGGAGGTTTGAGGGGATAAGCTTTCC